CACCTCTTTTTGGTTCCTGGGATAGCTGGAGTAACCCTGCCCGCTGGAGTGGCATACAATCACTGGCCACAGTGATCCGTCATCTTAATACAATATGGTCCCCAGAGATATTGCCTGAGGTTGAATCAGTGCCCAGCGAAATCTTCGAGCCGCCCATGAGTGAGAATAGTGCCCGTGCGGAGGCAGGGAGTTGCATCCTCTTGGGTGTGGTTTTGCAGCATGGCTGCTCGTCTGAGGCTAGCATAAGAGAAGCAACTTGAGTGCCAGCGAATTGCGTTAACTGTGCAGTAGAGATGCAGTGCGGTGGGACGGGGAGTCCAGTCCTAGGTTCCTTTCCCTGCTCTGCCATTGCCTTGCTCTGTGATGTTGGCTAAGGCCCTTTCCCTGTCTGCTCTCCCGGGGGAGGGTAACACTCCTGAGTTTGTAAAGCACTTGGAGATCTCTTGATGAGAATCAGGAGCTCAGCATTGTTGTTGCTGTTAGACTAGGTGGTTGCATCCAGGTTCCCATTGGTGAGCTCAGCAAACAACTCCCTTCTGTCAATCTCTCCAGGGAGATTCGAGTCTGGACAAATACCCAGATGGCTGGTGTATTATTTTCAGTTTTTTGTGTAACTGGCAAAACCAGCGCAGCCCTGGGGCTCCTGGCAAGGCACCAGCATGGCTCAGGGTGTTGCAATGGGTAGGCACCGCTGGATCGGAGATGCACCCTGTCGGCCACCCAGACAGGCTCCAGGATGGTAAATAAATGATTCCAGCCTCCACCCAATGCTCTACGCTGTAGGGGGCATGTGTGTGTGTCACCTGAGTGTGGGTTTGGCTTCATTTCTTAATGGATTTGTGTTTGTGTGTGCATGTGATTGTAAATGTGGCCCTGCGTCTGTGTGGTTGTGTCTATGAATTTGTCGCTGTGTGTGGGGTTCTGCATCTGTGTGGGGTTGTGAGTGTGTCCTTGTGGTTGTGTTTCTATGAATCTGTAGCTGTGAATGTGGCTCTGCATTGTGTGTGGTTGTGAGTGTGTCCATGTGGTGGTGTGTTTATGAATTTGTAGCTGGGGGGGGCGGGGTTCTGCATTTGTTTGGGGCTGTGTGTATACATCTGTGTGTTAGTGAGGGGAAATGATCAGTCCAGATTACAAATATAATTTGCCCTGATGAATTCCAACACACCTCACACTCAGTTGATCCCATTTGGAGTCTCACCTCAGCCCCACCCGGGTGATATTTTGGACCAGGTAAGGAAAAAAAGTCCAGCAACTTTGTGGCATGTAGGCAGAAGGGATCATGCATCCCTTTACCTAATTAACCTTCAGGGTCCATGATGTCTGGGCCTGACGAAGTCAGAAAGAACAAGGTGGATACAGCTTAGCATCTGAACATTAACACAAGGGTGTGTGTGTATGAGAGGAAGAGTGAGAGAGACACTCAACCTTTCTGGAAATTGCAAGTTTTTGAGACAAATTTGTGTTTGAAAATTGAATTCTCAATCAAAACACCCAAACCTTTTGACACTGAATTTAGTTGAAAAATATCAGATTTTCAGACCGGCAATACAGCTGGGCTAAATGTTCTGCCGATCAAAAAGTCTAAAATTTCAAAATTTTGACTTTTTTTTTAAAATCCTGAAAAACAGGGGGAGTGGGGGTTGAAAAATTCCCACAAAATATGGTTATGGTTTTGTGAGCCACGCTGGTATCTCTCCCTCTCTCTGTACCCCCTGACCCTTCCAAGTGATCCCGCTCTTTCATCCTGCCTGCTTGCCTGAGAGGGAGCTAGAGAAGAATTAGGGCTCTGTGCTATTGGCCATTTCTTTGGTTCACTCCTGTGCATGTCTCCTGCTTTCACCAGGTATGCAGTCTCACTTTTGTTCATGTGTTATACTTTTTCTCAAATGAAACAGTCACAACTGCATAGCTTGTGCTCACGCACACCACAGTGACTCTCACTCACTCAACACACAATTTATCTTTTGGTCTTGTCTAGACAAGGTGCTTGGCTACTCATCGGGTTATTCTGGAGTAGCAATTCTGAAGTAACTCCATGTGTGGAAACGCTTATTCTGAAGTAAGAGTGCTGGATTAAGCTAAAGAGGAACAAGGCATTCTGACTCCAGTAAGAATAACACGTAGAGTTATTCCGGAATAGCTAGTGCATTTTAAATTCATCTTCTACCTCTAATCTGAATTAATTTTTTAAATGTAGACAAACCCTTGGATTTAAAGGTGTTTGGCATTAGACTGAGTGACCGAGGCTTTAACTCATGTTCTGAAGTGTAATTGCTTGGTCTCCAGTAGAGATTTAGAGTAACAGCCGTGTTAGTCTGTATCAGCAAAAAACGAGGAGGACTTGTGGCACCTTAGAGACTAACATTTATTTGAGCATAAGCTTTCATGGGCTACAGCTCACTTCATCAGATGCATGCAGTGGAAAATACAGTAGGAAGATATAATATACAGAGAACATGAAAAAATGGGGGTTGCCAACCCAACTGTAACGAGACTAATCAATTAAGGTGAGCTATTATCAGCAGGAGAAAAAAAACTTTTGTAGTGCTAATCAGGCTGGCCCATTTCAAATAGTTGACAAGAAGGTGTGAGTAACAGTAGGGGGGAAATTAGCATGGGGAAATAGTTTTTAGTTTGTGTAATGGCTCATCCACTCCCAGTCTTTATTCAAGCCTAATTTAATGGTGTCCAGTTTGCAAATTAATTCCAGTTCTGCAGTTTCTCTTTGGAGTCTGTTTATGAAGTTTTTTTGGTTGAATAATTGCAACTTTTAGGTCTGTAATTGAGTGTCCAGGGAGGTTGAAGTGTTCCCCAACTGGTTTTTGAAGGTTATAATTCTTGACGTCTGATTTACGTCCATTTATTCTTTTGCAAGGAGACTGTCCAGTTTGGCCAATGTACATGGCAGAGGGGCATTGCTGGCATATGATGGCATATATCACATTGGTAGATGTGCAGGTGAACAAGCCTCTGATAGTGGGGCTGATGTGATTAGGTCCTATGATGGTGTCCCTTGAATAGATATGGGGACAGAGTTGGGAACAAGCTTTGTTGCAAGATTTAGAGGGTGTTAATTTGATCAAGCTAGGTAACTTGATCTAGCTTCCTACTTTTAGATCTTAGTTTAGACAAGAACTATAACATACACCCTCTCTCCTCCACAAACACACCCATACCACTGGGTCTCAGTCAGACGCCCTCTCTCACGCATACTGCTCCTGTCTCTCTCTCTCTCTCTGACACACACTTCTCTTACACAACTTGCTCACTCAAACACAGTCACACACCGCATCCCCAGCACACACATTCCACATCCATCAGCCCAGTGCATTTATCCCATTTCCATCATGTGAGCGCCGGTGGATTTAACCAGCAAATAGCCCCGCTTTTAATTCCCCAGCCCTCTCTTCCAATCTTCATCAACTCCCAGGTCTGTGGGGCAGGAGGTAGTGAATTAAAAGGCCTCATCGCTTCTCATTGCCTGTCTGGAGTTAAAGCAAAGAACGAGGCAAAGCAGTGCATTGATTTGCAGAGGGAACATCTATTGATCTCTTCTCTCTATGTAAGTGAACAAAGAATGGGACATATGTGGAATATTCCTGGCGATATGTGGAATGTGAAGAGGATGGCTGGGCTGAGTTCAGGAGGTCTGGTCAATAGCATGAGCCCTACCAGAGAGAGATCCCCACCCTAATAGGGTCCTAGAGCCTGGGCTCCAGCCCGAGCCTGAATGACTCCTCCACAGTTAAACAGCCCCAGAGCCCAAGCCCTGCATACCTGAATCAGCTCACACAGGCCAGCCGCAGATGCCTAATGGCAGTGTAGACCTACCCGGAGGTTCCATTTCTCCTTTGCCCTGCACCTTGTGCAGTCATTTACACTAGTGCAAAGTGGGCGCAAAATGCTGCCCTTCTGATTTTACACCCACTTTGCACTGGTGTAAATGACTGCACCAAAGAACAGCCATGCTGGGTCAGATCAGTGTCCTGGGTCACATCATCTAGCCCAGTGTCCTGTCTTCCCACAGTAGCCAGTGCCAGGTGCTTCAGAGGGAACGAACAGAACAGAGCATTTAGCGAGTGATCCATCCACTGTCGTCCAATCCTGGCTTCTGGCAGTCGGAGGTTTAGGGACACCAGAGGTTTCCTCTCTGACCAACTTGGCTAATCGCCATTGACGGACCTATCCTCCATGAACTTCTCCTTTTGAACCGGGTTACACTGCTGACAGGCTCAGGGCAAGGGAGTTTCAGACCCAGCAACCTGACCCATCCTGGCTTCTTCCTCAGTCACAGCCTGGCTGTGTTTCCGCCAACGGCGTCACTTCAGCCTCATGCAACTGGTGTTTTAGCCTCTGGTGCAAAGGCCGAGTGCTGACACAGCGTGCACCAGCATGGCATGATTGAAACCGACACAGAACTGCACCCGTGTCAGTCGCACAGCACGGGTGCAAGTCACGGCTGTGCCGGGTTTGTGCAAGTGGCTAAAATCCCAGTGGAGCCGGGGCCTTGTGCTAGGCAGCCCTGAAGTGCTGAGCAGAGATTGCCATGCCAAATGCTGCAGAGAGACCAAGGGATCCCTTGTGGGCCAACCTTCCCTTTGGGCAAACCCCGCGTTCCCCTGAGCGTCAGGTGGCAGAGATGCGGAGAGCCAAGCAAGCCACTAGCTGCTCTTCCTCAAACTCTCTGTTGGCGATTGTTTCTTTTTAAAAAAGTTCTTGACTGGAGCTAGGAGAGCTAACGCTGCGCAGAGCAGGGATAGCAGAAGGCCAAACTTCCTTCATGCATTTCCTTCCTACCTGGGGCAGTGCTTGGGATGTGCTTCAAAGGGGTGAGTTCAAGTCCCCGTTCAGCCACAGATTTCTTATCTGACCTTGGGCAACTCACTTAGCCTCTTTGTGGCAGTTTCCCGTTGGTCAAATAGGAATAACAGCCCTGCCCAACCGGACAGGGTGTCGGGAGGGTGAATGCATTAAAGGTTGTGATGTACACAGGCACTGCAGTACCTGCGGGTTGTATCAGTACCTGAGAGAGACTGCAACTTGAGGGTGTCCAGTCCTCCGGCTGTCAACAGGGTGAGTGAATAAGGCCCTGAGTAATGATGATTTCCTGTAGCGTAGACACCTCTCCCCTTAGAAGTGGACTGAGCCCCACTGACTCATTTCACACAGGTGCCATTGAGTCTTGATTTTCAATCCTGGGCTGGATCTGAGCTAGTGATTTTGGAGGAGAACGGCTTGGCTGCATCTCTGAGACATCCTTCCCTGTTTCAGAACAGGCTGGGATGAAAAAGCCTAGTTCTGGCAACTCACTGGGTCTTTCCCACCATTGGAGACCTCCCCAGGGCTCTCATGATTCTGAATCCTGAGGGCTCAGTCCATATCAGGCCCATGGTCCCGGTCTGGAAGAGCTCACTGTTTAATTAGGCAAGTTAGAAGGATTATTGTCCCCGTCCTACAGAGTCTGTGGCAGAGGCAGGAGTTGAACCCAGGTCGCTAGCTCAGTGCCTTAGCCCCAAGACCGCCCATTACGTGAGTGGAGAAGCAAGACGTGCGGCACCCCAGGCATCCTCTAGAGAGCCGTCCTCGTCGCAGGCGCCGGAAGGTGGCAGCAGCCTGGCACCAACAACACGAGCTGGAAGAAGGAGGCACAGCCGAACTGGGCCCAGGACGAGAACGTCTGGAGGTGAGAAGCGGGAGTTGTTAGCAGCACAGGGCTGCTGGGCTGTGCCCGCGTTACCTAGAGGAGCTAAGTAACACATGCCAACGCACCCTGTGTTGCAATGGCCAAAGGCGGCTGCTGCTGTCCCACTCCTGCTTGCCCAATGGCCAATACCAATCTCTACTCCCCCAGCAGTGGGGCAATAAGGTGTCTCTGAACGCTCCCTCTAGAGAACGCGTGGAACAGAAGCTTCAGCTGGTGGGATGTGCCACCGGGCGCCTTCAGTGCGTCCTGTCTCAACTGCCAGCCCTCCGGCCACGTGACCCCATGGTCCGGGTGCAAGACCAGTTGCCCAGAGATCGGGTCCTGTGCCTGGCTCTGCTTAAGTTGCTTTCTGCTTCCCCTCCTGCTGCTTGTCTGTCTTGGCTATTTAGACTGTAAGCTCTTCGCTGTGGGGCCTGTCCTCCGTTTTCTGTGCCATGCCCAGCACAACAAGCCCTGATCTCCGTGGAGACCTCCAGATATTGGCGCCCTCATCTAGCGGCTCCACGGTAGGCAGGTAACTGGGTGTTGTGCCTTTTTGGAGCACTCAGGTTCCATATTCCATCTTGTTGGGCTTCCCCACCCCTAGCTGGGCCCTGGAAAGCTCCAGCCAAGGTCTCTAGTAGGTGTCCTTCAGCAGCTAAGCGAGATCCAATCCCAGCCCCTTCTGGTTAGTTACTCCCCCTCCGAAGAGTGAGGGAACTCTTTTCCCCCTTTTCTTGCTGGGCCCTTTGCTCCCTTCCCAGAGACTGCCACCTCTTATTAGCATGGGTATTTGCTTTGCTCATTGCCTATGGCAGGAGAGACCACAGCCTGGTGTCTCTGCCACCCATCGCTCCCAGCAGGGGTCGCTGCGGAGAACAGCTCCCAGCACCGGCTGCAGATAATGGCCGTGGAATTTCTGCCTGGGAATGGGGTAGGGGGTGGGGAGAAACGAACCACGTTCACCGAGCTTCCTCTCCCAACCGGGGAGCCCGCGCAAGGAGGAGACGAGACCTGGGGCTGCCATCTCCCGCAGCATGCAGCAGTCGGCAGCTGGAGACCTGCGAGGGTTAACGCGATTGTCTTTGCAACCGCGGACGCCCTCCTGGGAGTGTGGAGTGCTGGGTTTTCATTTTAAGTAACCCTAACGCGGCATGTGATGAAATGCACAAGTCGTGTGCGACAGACAGAGCGAGCGGGGAAGAGAGACCAAGAGGGATCCAGGTGGCTCGGAAAGGTAAGAGAGCAGCAACCCATTCGGGGGGGAGGTCTTTAATAAAGAGAATTTTCTCCCTTGTAGGTATCTCCAGATCTTTGTCATCACTTCGGATTTCCAGTCACCCAGTTCTTAGATCCTTGCTGTCCTCTGAAATCTGCTGCCACTCCGACCCTCTCCCATCCTTCCGTATAGCCCAGCAGAACTTCCCCTGGGAGCAGGTGGCTCTGTGCTGTTGGATGCACGTGGGCCGTTGCTTCCCATCACACCTTTTATTCTCACCTGAGGGTTTCCACCTTTTGATGGCGTTCGCAGACGGGACAGAACTTTAACTCTACCAGGAATGAAACCCGCTCCTTCGGTGCACAGGGGCTGATGGGCTGTCAATATTGTAACCGTAGGGTTCCCGCCAACCCTGGGCTTGTGATCACCCCCAGGACTGCTTGTGTTCATTTCTTTCCCCCATTTAAAACCATTTTCGTGTAACCAGAGACCAAGGCGACAGCCCTGTTTGGCGAACTAACTTCTTCGGCGTGCTGCTTCTTGCAGTGAGACCGGCACGGTGCAGGACTTGTACCATTTGAGAAGGGAGGGAGCATGGCCTGTCCTTGAGGTGTGGGGGTCGGAGGGGTCTCCTCCTCAGGGAAAGGTTGTGAAATTACCTTCCGGGTGGTGCATCCCACAGGCAATAATAACATGCTCTTCAGATTAGAAGAGTCTTCACGAGCTCTGGGGAGAAACGCGTCTCTAGCTGGAGAGGATTTAGCAGCATCCACAGAGCAGGGGAACCAGCGTGCTCATGGGATGGTACCGCTGGGCAGCTGTAGCAAGATGCATCTCGCCCCCACCCCAGTGCCAGCCGCAGACCTCTCTCAAAACCCATCCTGTGTAGAGCTGGGGGGTGGTCTCGTTGAGCTGAACCCCCAATGTGCCAAGGAATGGAGGAGGACTGGGATCCATGGGCCAGATCCTTAACTGGTGTCAATCAGCATAAATTGACTTCAATGGAGCGAGATGATTTGCATCAACTGAGAATCTGACCATGGGCATAGTTTGGGGAGTAGGGGGGGACATTTCCCCCCAAACTGCAAGCCTGAGGCAGGTGGGAAATTCCGCCCCCCCACGCACAGCCCCATTGGCTGAACTGGAGGCCCCCCATCCCAGATATAGAAGTCATACTTACACCTGTGGATCTGACCCAGTCATTCCAGTTTGGGCCCATTCAGTCTCTCACTAGGAGGCGGATATATTCATCAGGGTACAGCATCCCCCTGACCTGTCTCAGCTCAGGGCAATTTTATTTACTGCTTTCATATCTCTAAGCCCGTAACAAATGCACTCCCAGCAGCTTTTGGCAGTCAGCCCTCTACGAGCATGTAGGTGGGGAGGATGCATCGGGACTGTCCTGGGCTGCAAAAAGTGCTAAGCATCATGATTCAAAAACTGGAACAACAAGACGCTCTTCATGCCTGAGCTTTGCTTCCCACAGCTGGAGGCCCGGGAAGGAGCTGCCGGTGGGGAAAGTGGCAGAGGGAGGGGAGTGGGATTACCCCAGATGGGCTGTGCTACTGACTGGATTATTCCCTCTGATACCAGCCAGGATTGTCCATCAGTGCTGAGGGGGATTTACCCAGAGACGGAAAACCCCAAAGAGCTTCTAGGATTAGGTCGGGGCTTGGAGGATAAAGGCGGCTAATATTCCATCCCAAATCCAAGTCCCCTTCTTAGTGTGAATCCTAAGCGGAGCCAGAGAGAGAGAATGCGCAAGGGCCCAATCCTCCGTCGCCCTGCACCTGGCGCTGTCCGTGACACCAGCACAAAGCAGGGTGGCAAACAGTGCGGGCACTGTCCCTTCTGACTTGCATGCTCAGCACCTACTCCCAGGGGGCCCTGCGGGCAGCAGCAGGAGCCACGTAACCATTTATTTTGCTGTCTTCCGCGTGGGGTTTGTGCTTCTGGATCTGCACCCCACAATCCAAGTGGGCCTCTGAGTCAAAAGGGCCACGCAGCCCCTGGGTTTACATGGAGAGAGGAAAATGGCAGCACTCCTCAATCAGCCCTGGGTTCTCTCCAGAGCTGTCGCGAATCCTGCAACAAAACTGAAATCCGGACGAGCTTTGCATGGGGTTGGGTTGTGTGTGGCGAGTGTTACGGCCCAGGGAGGGCAATGACCCCCGCCCTTGCTCTTTTTTGCTGTATCCAGTGCATTGGCTCCACTATATAGTGTAACCCGGTGCACTGGCCCCTTTAAGGCAGGCCAGGATTGCTCAGGACCAGAAGCCTGGCTTAAATGCTCCCCCAACCCCTGGTGCAACAGCGAGCAGCGGCGCGAGGGAGGCCTTTTTAAACATTACTTTTATAGGGCTTTTCTAGCATCAAAGCATCCGATTCATCCCAGAGTCAATCGCTGGTTGGGCTGGAGCTGAGCCAGCCTCCTTGCCTCTGCTCAGCCGGTGTGACTGTGAAGAGTGCTCTGTTCTTAGCTGCCAGCCTCGCTCAAGGGTTTCGAGTTCAGCAGGGGGAGGCTAGTTCTCTCTGGGAACACGAATAAGGAGGTGCCGACTTGTACGCTGGGGCTTACATCTGCAGCTGGGGAGGTTGGGTGCTGCTCTCCGCTGAGAGGGCAGCTTGCCAGGCACTTGAAGTGCAAGCGGGCATCATGCTGGTCTGCGTGGGCATGTGTTTATATATAGGCCTGTGTCCATCTATGTGTGTAGAGGCCTGAGTCTGGATTACACCAAGTCCCCTTCACGCAGCCAGGGCCATGTAAATGAGACACAGGCTCTAGACATGCACGTGGGGAAACTGAGGCACAGCAATGTGACTGGCATCCAGCCCCCTGAACCGCCTGTTCATTAACATTTCCCTCCCTTTCTAGCCAGCAGGGGAGTATGTGCCAGCAGGGAGCACTCAGAAGAAGCGGATGCTTCTAAGGGGAGACGCGTTGTTCTGTACGGCAGTGACGCCTTGAGCAGGATTTGGGCCCCATCGTGCTGGGCACTGCACACACGCAGTGAGGGGGAATCTCTGCCCCCAAAGAGCTTCTGGGCGAACTAGAGGAGACAGGGAGTGAACTGCCAAAGGTCACCCAGCAACTCAGAGCCAGGAATAAAATCTAGGTCTCCCGACGCCCAGCCTGTCACCCTCACCCCTGTACCAGGCTGCCGGTCCATGTGCCAGGGGCTCTCTGTCCTACCCCAGCTTTGTGGCTGTGTGTTACGCTATCATAGTCGGCCTGAGCTGCCTGTTCACAACCTAACCATGGTGGGTGGTGGAGAGAGAAAGGAGCAGCGGGAAAGACTGCGATGGAGACAGCCAGACTCAGCTACTCACTCGCCTTGGGGGCTGGTTCTGGTCCCAAGCTTTGCCCCCGGGATTTGCTCCTGGCTCCTGTGGCCCAGACCCTATCCCAGCTGGGATGCTCTGAGCCTTGTCTGGCCTGCCAGTTTCCAGGGCTTTTACTTTGAGTGACCTTCATCCTTTTGAATCTGGCCCCCGCTCCTCGTTTAAGGTTTCTGTTTGACAGTGTTACAAAAGCCTTTTAAATACCACTTCCCCGAGAGACCCAGACCAGCAAATGAGGAGAATCAGCACCTGGGGTCGGAAGAAAGACTTAAGTGGGGGTGGGAGAGCTGAGCGAGACCCGGAGCCTGATTCTCCTCCCACTCCCTCCATGGCTACACCTCTGACTCCAATGGAGCTACACCGGTCTGACACCGGAGTGAGATCAGAATCAGGCCTGCAGGCTGGGGTGCGGGGGCAGATCCTCTGCTGGTGTGAACTGATATACAAGAGTTGAGGATCCAACTGTCGGTTCTAAGCGCACCCCAATGAAAGGCAGTGAGAAGCCAAGGAGGGGGTTAAAGAGGCACTCCCTCAAAGAGGCAAACTAGACAGGCAGAGCAGGGAAGTGGTTAGAGCAGTGGAGACGGGGTGTCCAGACTCCTGGGTCCCATACCCAGCTTTTCAGCGAGTGTTATCTAGGGGGTTCAAATGAGGGAGGTGGGACTCAGCAGACCTGGGTTCTGTTCCTCGCTCTGCCATTGGCCTGCTGGATGCACAGGGGCAAGTCAGTTCCCCGCTCTGTGCCTCAGTGTCCCCGTCTGCAACATGGGGATAGTGATACCGACCGCCTTTGGAAAGTGCTTTGAGATCTACAGATGGAAAGCACTAGGTGTTCTTATCATCAGACCCATGTTGCAGATAGGGAAACTGAGGTGCGGGGAAGGGATTGTTTAAACTCTGTCAGTCTATCTATCAAATCACAGTTGTACCGAGCGCATCAGTACAGATAGCCTCTTGTCAGTTACACTGAGGCCCCTTTTCGCTGCCAGAGCGGTATAAAGGGGGCAGAGTACAAATGAGAATCAGGCCCTCAGTGCCTAATACCTGAGAACCAGCAGCATCTGGTACTGACAAAGCTAGGATTAGAACTCACGTCCCTTGCACCGCCTGCTAGACACGCTCGCTGAAAAGCTGGAAAGGGAACCCCGGTGTCCGGGCTCTCAGCCCCCTGCTCTGGCCAGTAGCAGAAAACAACTCCGTTAAATGGAGGCTGGTGTGTGTGTGTCCCCTGTCGCTGCTCCTCCCCGGAGTGTCTCTTCTGAGGACAGAGCTGTCACGCCAGCCCCTTTCCCCAGGGCTAGGTTCACCTGCGAGAGAAGATCTGGCCCCTGCATTCACGGCTCCCTCCTGGGAAGGAAGCCATCTGCCCAAGCCCTGCTCCCCCCTCCCTGGCTCCGGACTGTTCCAATGTCCCCTAATCGGCTTGCTTTAATAGCATTAGACGCTTTTAAACAAACAGGCCCTTGACCCTCTTCCCCCCCACCTGCTCTCCACTAAGGAGGAGGAGGCTGAAACGCCCTGGGATGGCTGCGCAGGGCCAGCTAAGGCGATTGGAGGGGGATTTGGGAGAGATAAAGGGGCAGGAACCCAGCCAAGTCTTGCTTCAAAGATCCAGGCTGGTTTGTTTCACACCAACAAGCATGAAACACTCTCCCAGCCGCACCCTGTCTCGTTCATCTCCCCTCATGGGCGTCTGCTTCTTCCCCGGGGTTTCATCCTCCCCTCCTGCCCTGGGCTGGGCAGGGCGAGCTGGTACAGAGCCCCCGGAAACCAAGCTAGGGGGTGCAGCCTGAAAACACCAGGCGCTGTCTGTCAGCACAGAGAGGTGAGGTGACTGGGTCAACAAGCCCAGGCTGTGGCAGAGCCAGGGGCAGAACCCAGGAGTCCTCCCTCCCAGGCATTGCTGCTCTAACCAATAGACTCCACTCCCCTCCCAGACCTGGGGCTAGAACCCAGGAGTCCTAGCCCCTCATTTTCCCGACTCCGCTCTAACCACTAGGCAGTATGTGGAGTGCTAGGGACAGATATATGCTGCTTACCCAGTGCCAGTTTGGGGGCTTTCCCCACACACGCTGAGCCACGTTCTGATCTGTCACCCTGGTATAATTCTATCCAAGCTGCTTCAGACACTTAAAGTTACGAGCCTGCGGGGTCAGGGCCTGACTGTGGTCGGAATAACCCGGGGGAGCAGTTACGCTGCATCCTGCCGGGGGTAGTGTGGGCAGGGGGCGGGGGGGAATAACTCTCTACGATGCAACACTTAGCAACTCCCTGCCCCTCTAGAGCACTGGCCAGCCGCCCTCCACAGGCGTTCCTGACTCTGATCTCCCTGTGGTGTAAATCAGGAGGCACTTCACTACAGCTAGCAGAATGAGCCTGGGGTAACACAAGCGTGAGATCAGAATCAGCCCTTGTCTCACTTTCCTCCCTCCACTCATGTCTGTTCTTCCTCCTCTCCTCCTCTTCATAACTCCTGCCATGTGAGTCCATTCTCCCTGCCCCCCGCCCCCACGTCTCCCTCCCTCTATGGGCCCAGTTCTGAGTGACGCTAAGGTCCCTTTACCCACCCTTTTGCGCTAGCAGAGCAGTGTCACTCGGAACCGGGCCCAGTGGGATTATTTCACGTGAGCGAGACTGCTCATGGCTTAAGCTTTTTCAGGATCAGGACCTACGAACACTCGACTTGTGAAAAGAAAAACACTACCGCGTATTGATATGGCGGGCTTTGCAGAAAGGAAAGCAAACTATAAAGCAAGGTCCCTATTGAAAACAGACAAACCAACGAGGATTTCATTTCTATGCATCTGTTAAACAAAAATCCAAACATCCCCGCCCCCAGCCCTAAATAATGAAAACAAGATAAAGAAGCAAAGAAAGAAAGAAAAACAAAAGAGAAAGATGGGGAAAAAGAAAGAAAGCTGGAAAAGAAACAATAAAATCATAAACTTAAATGCCAATCAAATAACAGAGGTGTCTTTAATATCTTCCCCTTCCCCTTCCGATCTGTTATCCTCAGTGGCCTGTTTTCACTTCTGCTTTAAGCCAAGCAGAGAGAATTGTCTTTATTTGACTGTAATGTCCAGAAAATATAATAAAAGGAAAATGCAAAAGCAGAGTTGGGGACACTAGGTGAGTATCTGGCCCAAAATAAAGGCAGGTTCTGGAATAAGGGAAAAGATGGACTTGATAAATTTCACCTTGAGTTGGTGGTAGTAGGAAGTGGACGACTTTGACCAGGGAACTGCACTCTCCCTCCCGCCCCATTGTAATGATTTTCTGTTGTTGTTTTTAATGTGAGTGAATATTAAATCACACTGGATGTTTCCATTTAACAGACGGGAGTTTAGTCGCAATCATCTTCTCCTCAGTGACATTTTGGATCTGAATATAGAGAGAATGTGATTTTTATCAAATCAGGTTCTGCACCATGGGCCTGATCCAAAGCCTGCTGAAATCAGTAGGAAATCGCCATTGATTTCAGCGATGCCTGGAGCCGTCATCAAAGTTATTGTTTATGCGTTGCATACAAAACCAGCTGCCTGGTTAGAATCTGCCAAATGCAGATTCTGTCACCTACCTCGGGACCATTCCGACACCAATATCTATGAATGTGGGCACCTTCTTCCCCGCAAGTCCTCCCATGATGGAAGAAATCTGTTGTTTTTGCTTGTTCGTTTGTTTTTATAATAAACTGCATTAGATGAAAACCGTGGTGGAACAACTGACCAAAGTGGTGTGTTTGCAGGATCGGGCCCTCAGTGGCATGCTGCAGGATCGGGCCTTTGTGCGTGTGTGTTCTGAACAGGCGCCTGTGGAAGTCAGTGGAAAGACTCCCACTGATATTAGAAAGGCCCGTTACTGGGCCCAAGTCTCTGCCAGTCTGCTCCTGAGCAGCCATTTGCTCTGTGCGACCCAAGGGCACACCATGGGGCTAATCGTTTTCCACCCTGGATTTTTTCTCCCTGGGATCCTGACAATGCAAAATATGTTTCTTCTCTCCAGATTTTGATGCTTTTTGGCTTCCTGTTTCCTTTTCACCCTATTTTCCCTTTAAAGCTACTTTTCTCTCTATTATTTGCTTTAACACTGTGGGTTTTTTTTTTCAAAATGGCCTGTTGCCCATGCCAGTAACATTCCCAAATAATTTGCAGAGTTTTGGGGTTCTGTTTGTTTGGTTTTTGTTTTGTTTTTATTCTCAAATTAGCCAGTTTAGACTTTTCTGGAAAATAAGGGAAAGTTCAGGAAGAAAAAAAAACCCCACAGTTTAAAAAAGAGAACTAATATTAAATGCATTTCATCCTATGGATTCTTTTCTCTAGTGGCGATGGCTTTTGTGGAAAGGGGTTATGAAACAGCTGTTTGTAAAAAAAAGAGAAAAAAAAAAGCTAACCAAACTGGATTTGAATATTATTTTCATGGGATCAGTGGGTCCTGGAAAGGCAGTCGTTGCAGAGAATCCACACACAATTATGTGTGTGAGTAGCTTTATTCACACAAGTCCCATTTCTCATGTGGATAAGTGGGTACAGTCAGGACTTTCTTCGGCTCTCTGTTGATTGGGGATAAAATGATAGGGGGGTTTCTTCTTTTTAGAGCGTTTCCTAGGGGGGTTGAAAGATGTGAAATTCACCAATCCCGACTCTCCTCTTCGTGCAGAACCTGCCTTCTTTAAGTCGTAGGGCCAGAACCTCAGCGAGTGAAACTCCAAGTTTCTCCGTTGACCTCAAGGGTCCTATGCCGATTCACACCAGCTGAGGGGCTTGCCCTTTATCTCAACTGAACCATGAATTTCTTAAATTCTCGTATTGCAAAAATAAAAAGAAGAGTCGCTCTTGGCTGATTACAAGCCCGAGCCCTTCCTTCTCCTGCGTCTCCCTGTGGGTGACTTTGTCCAGGAGGACACTGCAGGTACGTTCAGCCACAACCTTGCTGCTTGTCTGTTTCTTTATTCACAATTTAAAAAGCAGGGTGCAGAGGACTAACTGCAGTTTTACTATGGGCCGATGGAAAACCCAGCAGGAAAATTCCAAATCCTTCCAGCCTCAGGAGTAGGAGCTCTCGCTCCCTCTTTTCCCTGGGAGTGGGGTAAGAAGATTTAAAATTAACCCTTCCCCCTCCTTTATATATAAAGATGAATCTTCCTAAAACTCTCAGAGTCTCTCTCTTTCTCATTCATTTCTAACTGCATGCAGTAGTTTCTAGCTGAAAAAAATCCCCAGAGATCCACATCTCAGCGGCAAGGTAGGTGAAGACTAGATCTGAGAGCTCCCAAGATTTCTAGTTTTCAAGGCTGTGATTTTCAAGGGGGCCACTTTCAACCCTTAGTCAATTTCTTTCTTTCTGAGCCAGCAGTTTACCTAGGGAATTTTGGGTGAATGGGGTTTTTTGCTTATCACTCTATGATGTTTGAAATCCTGAAATGTGTTAAGACGCTCAGAAAATGGTTATAAATCATAACCAACAAAGGAGTTTTCTCAATTAAAAAAATTGCATTTTTCTTAAGTAACAACCCTAATGGAAGGGGTGTGGGGGGAGGGGGCAGGGAATTTCTCTTACAATCACAGCAGAGTGACTGAGATATTTTCCCAAATTGGAGACCTAGATCTTGGGGAAAAGTGAAGGTCCTTTGATTTAATTTTCCAGCCAGGCATTTGTTATATAATTCTTCCTTCTGCTTCAGAAATATTGGGCCCAAGTAACAAATCAATGCATCCCCACTCACAGTTTGCAGTGATGCCCTGGAGAAGTCAGGAGTGAGAGGTCCAGAACCGCTGAAGAATCTGTAGACAATGAAGTGTAGAAGTCTCCTGGAGACAAGAGAGCAGAGGACAGGTCTTCTAGAGATGTAGACAATAGACATGGTTTTCCGGATGTTGGTCAAGGAGACGTGAGGTGCAAAGGCAGAAAGGAACGACATGCCCTATAGCGCGTGGGTCTAGGCTGGGTCTTTAGGGTGCAGAAGGGGCTTTGGCTGGCTCCATATCCAGCCTCTCTATGCTCCTCAAAGGGAAATCAGCAGAAGGAGCAATCAAGAGGAGGAAATACACTCTCTCACGGCTGCCTGGCAAGAAGTGGAGGTGGCATCTGTCTGCGGTGAAGTTACACAGCTCTTCGTCTGAGGTACAGAAGTGATGGGAAAAGCTTGCTATGTCCAGTCAAGTGTGTCCAAATGAGGGTCAGTGCAGGATTGTTCCTTCCAGCCCCCTCTCCAAAACTGCCTCTCTCTCTCTCACCACACATCCCCCTCGGCAATCTCTCTGCCCCCGTTTCCCTCAGCCTCGAGTCTCTCACTCCCAGTGCTGACCAATGCTTCGGGTTTCTCCTTCTCACATTTGTTATGACCCACGGGTTATATTGGTCCCTCTCCTGCGTTCCTTGTTCACTTTCATCCACTAGCTCCTGCCCTTTCGACTTTGGCAAATATATTTCACCGGGTCTTCATGTCACATTGCATCCGGACGCCCAACTCCAAGCTCTGAGCAAGAGCCGGCCTGATCTCCTTGATCATGACGCTGAATCAGTTCGTGTTTGGAAAGTACTTTGGAGGGGCAATGTGCTGTAGGCCCTAATTCCTATTTACACTCTGGCCCCTTTCGGCAGTCGCTGCAGGAGGACCACAGCGCCCACGGAAGGGGGCCTGTCTGAGTATGAGAAAGAATCGGGTCCTACGGGGCCGATCCTGAACTGAGCATCGCCCAGTTCCACCGAGAGTTCTGTGTATTGTTAGCGGGAGCAATAATCTGGGCTTCATTCTTGTTTGCCTGCCACTCTGGCAATGTTTAGGGGCCTTAAAGTGAGAGTAAATTATAGCTATAGCGACGTTACAGCCTTGGCCTGGCCGGAACTGAATAAAGGAGCCTTAGTGTGAACAAGAATCAGGCCCTTTAAGTCTAAAGAAACACGACGCCTCGTAACTTTATACTGGAGAGCGTCCTTAATGATCGTTGTGTCTTCGCTGGCTGCTATGATGTAGATGATCGGGTTATATACTGTACCCTACCCTGGCCCTTAGATTATTATCTTGATTTTTATAATGTTATTTTTGAGATTATTAGACACTTTTTATTCTTCAGCCTGCAAAATCCTCGGGGCAAGGACTGTCTTTTGGTTGTTGCTGGTGGAGGTTTGTTGGGCCCCACTCTATGGTTATGGCCCCACGGGGCAAATAATAATAGAGCGTATCCATATGGCCCAGTAGGGGGAGCTGTGGAGGGGTCGTTGCTGGACGGGGGTCCTGACTTGGTTGACATCTAGGTGCTATTTGCAGGGACAGACACACACACTCAGCAGAACAAGGATGTCCTGTCCTGGAGTGACTCTTCCCACATCCTCCACGGGCCAGGGCTTGCGAGCTGTAGCTCTGGGTTTAGGAGGGGCAGCTGGAGAGAACACCCCAGCCTGAGGCATGGTGGCAGGTTTCTTGACACTCCCAAGGGCCTTTGGCCAAGGGCTCCCAGCAACCACAACACATGCACCCTGTGTTTATTTCCTTGATTTATGCAAATGTCGTGTGCCACCCGACAGTACGTGTTCTGCAAGGAACAAGAGGAGAGATCCCTGAGGGAGCCAGACTGTGGCTGCGTATGAATGAGTGTGGAGACCCCTTTCCTCTTAGCCCTGATGTCAAATACACCTGTGAGTTAGGTAATAGTCCCCCTTGCAAAGAGGGGGGAAACTGAGGCATAAGGCAGCGAAGTGACTTGCCTAAGACCGTGCAGCAAGTCTGTGGCAGAGCTGGGAATGGAACCCAGGAGTCCTGACTCCCAACACGGCCTCCAATGGTAATCAGACCATATTGTGCCCTGTGGTCTGAGCCCATGTTCCATTTCACTGCCATGGTGGCTTTGATTTTGTGCGTCCCCAGGTCTGTAAGATGCACTGTGGCTGCGTGTCTGAGGGGGTCCCCAGCTCCTACTGGATCTCAGGTGAGAATACAAACCATGCCGCGTGGAACTCCAAGGGGAGAGAGGAAAGAGCGTCTTCCTTTCCTCCTGTGGAGCCAGTCCAAGTCTGGCAATGCTACACAGGGTGAAGCTAAGTTAGGGAGTGAGGGGCCCAGCCCTGAGAGGTGCTGAGCACCTACATCCCCCTGGAGGTACCACAATCTGGTACCTTTATGCAGCAACTTTCCTCCCAGAGCCCTTTACAGACTATACATACGGGGATCACTCTCCCAGCACTGAAATGCAGCCACCTCTGGGGTGGAACTCAGCAGCTGTTTGACATCCTCACAGCATTGCTGCACTTAGGTTGGCAACTTTCTAATTGCACAAAACCCGAACAGCCCTGCCCCACCCCTTCTCTGAGCCCTTCGTCGCTCGCTCTGCCCCACCCTCACTCACTTTCACTGGGCTGGGGCAGGGAGTTGAGGTGCGGGATGGGGGTGAGGGCTCCAGCTGGGGGTGTGGGCTCTGGGGTGTGGCTGGGGATGAGGGCTTTGGGGTGCAGGAGGGAGCTCAGGGCAGGGGGTTGGGGCGTGTGTGGAGGAGTGCAGGCTTCAGGAGGGAGTTTGGGTGTGGGAGGAGACTCTGGGCTGGGGCAGGGGGTTGGGGTGCAGGAGGGGATTCGGAGTGCGGGTTCAGGCGGCGCTTACCGTGGCTCCCAGGAAGTGGCCACCAGGTCCCTGCGGCCCCTAGGCACATGGGCGGCCAGGGAGGTGCCGCGTGCTGCCCCTCAAGGCACATGGGCGGCCCTCGCACCATAGGCACCACCCCCGCAGCTCCCATTGGTCGTGGTTCCCTCAGGGCGGGGGCAGCACGCGGCACCTCCCTGGCCCACCATGTGCCTTGGGGCCGCAGGGACCTGGCAGCCACTTCTGGGAGCTGCACAGAGCCAGAGCAGGCAGGGAGCCTGCCTTAGCCCTGGGCCCCCGCTGCCCCACCGACCGGACTTTTAACGGTGCCCAGTCGGCAGTGGACGTTCCAGTCGAAAACCAGATGCCTGGCAACCCTACACTGCACAGGGCTCACTTGCCCAGCACTGAAATGCAGCCACCTCTGGGGTGGAACATGGCAGCTGTTTAACAGCCACACAGCAATGCTGTGTAATACTTGAAGCCAGGAAGTTCCCTGGGAGTTGTGGGGAGGCTGAGGGCAGCACAGCTGGGGTATGACTATGCTCTCACTTGCTCTGCAGGGCTGGCTTTCCCAGACTGGGCATACAAGGCAGAATCCAGCCCCGGCTCCCGTCAGATCCAGCTCTGGCACTTCATCCTGGAGCTGCTGCAGAAGGAGGAATTCCGCCATGTCATCGCCTGGCAGCAGGGCGAGTATGGGGAGTTTGTGATCAAGGACCCTGACGAGGTTGCGCGTCTGTGGGGCAGGAGGAAATGCAAACCGCAAATGAACTACGACAAGCTGAGCCGGGCCCTCAGGTGCGGAGAAGGGGCCACGTGGGGCGGGGAGCACGGGAACCCGTCTCAACCCAGGGCAGAGACTAGGGGTCTTATCGATCAAACTGGGTATTTGGTGGAGAGGCAGAGAGCAGCCCATTCCAGCACCGCTTTGATCCATCCAGGATTCAGGGACACTAGGTAGCTCAGTCCCCGAGCTAGAGGGAACCACGGGGTCTGTCTGTGTCCAGCAGCCTCATTATAGTCCTCGCTGCTGAGTCCTGCCTCGTCCCACCGTGAGGAATCAGGGCAAACTGACTCCTGCTAGCCATGGACCTGATCCAGGCCGGGATCTGAATTCTCCTGCTTTTAGGGGAGTTCAGGCCCCAGGCCTAGCACACAGATAAGAGGTGACCTGTGAAATCCAGACATGGATTTAAAGGAGGAGGGGAAACTTATTTCAGTCTGGCTGTACCTTGGATGGACTCAGAGGGACACCCAGATCCATCCCCGACCCTTTGGAGCAGGAAAAAAAAAAAAGGATGATGGAAAAGAGAGAGTAAGGGGACAGAAAGAGTGAGAGAAAGAGCTTATATCTCTTTTATTTTTCTAGGGAAAGATAGTCCCTCTTCTCTTCTCTTCTCTTCTCTTCTCTTCTCTTCTCTTCTCTCTTGTCTCCGTTGCCCTCCACCTAGCAGAGAGCAGCCCAGAGGGGAAGCAGACAGACCGTAGCAAAGTCAGAAGGAAATTTCTGCTGTCTCGCCTGGTGGGCAGGACTGGGCTTTACTGCCCAGTGCTTTCTGCTGCTCAGGGCAGAGGAGGAGAGTTTAATGTTTTTTTGATACAAATGGAAAAGATTCCTGGATCTTCTCTCGGCTTCCTGGTGCTCGTCTGTGTAGTGGCCCGTCCGTCCGTCCGTCCGCCCGCCCCGCGCTGCTCTGGCCTGTCAGGCTTTTCCCTCGCCCCCCCAGGTATTATTACAACAAGCGCATCCTGCACAAGAGCAAGGGAAAGAGATTCACCTACAAGTTTAACTTCAGCAAACTCATCTTCGTCAATTACCCGCTGTGGGACGCGCGCTATCCCCCCCCGCCCCTGCGGATGGGGGCCGCCGGCGTGTGCCGCCCGCCCGGGCTCTCCACCGGCATGCAGAGCGAGGTAACCACAGGGCACGGGGCTGGGATGGGCTCCCAGCCTGCCCCGTGGGGGGGGGCGGGTCACAGACTGCCCCGTGGGTGGGGGAAGGCCACAGAGTGCCCCGTGGGTGGGGGAAGGTCACAGACTGCCCCGTGGGTGGGGGCAGGTCACAGAGTGCCCCCTGCACGGGGCTGGGATGGGCTCCCAGACTGCCCCATGGGGGGGGGGGTCACAGAGTGCCCCGTGGGTGGGGGCAGGTCACAGAGTGCCCCGTGGGTGGGGGAAGGCCACAGAGTGCCCCGTGGGGGGGGGCGGGTCACAGAGTGCCCCTTGCACGGTGCTGGGATGGGGTCCCAGACTGCCCCGTGGGGGGGGGCAGGTCACAGACTGCCCCTGCACGGGGCTGGGATGGGGTCACAGAGTGCCCCGTGGGTGGGGGCAGGTCACAGAGTGCCCCGTGCACGGGGCTGGGATGGGGTCCCAGACTGCCCCGTGGGTGGGGGCAGGCCACAGAGTGCCCCGTGCACGGGGCTGGGATGGGGTCACAGACTGCCCCGTGGGTGGGGGCGGGTGAGTGTCAGTCCCAGCTGCCCCAGGGACCCCAGGCTCATTGTTAGGACCCTAAGTATGGGGGTCCCCACTGCAAAGCTCATTCCCCCTCCAGCTCCTGCAGAACATGATCTTCACCCGCCAGGCCTTGGCCGACCAGCTGGCCTTCCACAGAGGCCTCAGGGACCCGCTGGACATGGCGAGCCCAGGGAACAAGAAAGGGACTGCCAGCGGGCCCCGTAAGTGCCATGTGTGTCTGTGACAGGGAGGGGGCAACAAGGGGGACAGCAGCACAGGGCAGGGTCAGAGAGGAGCTTTTCAGGAGACCTCAAGGCGGTACCCGCACGCATGTGTGTGAGTGCACTGGTGTTTGTGTGTGAGTGTCCCAGATCAGTGGGTGGCTGCCGTTAACACAGCAAGGGAGAAAGAAGGGCCCAGCTCGCGTCCGAGCCGGACCGTGAGTGAGAGGATCCAGCCTCTCACCAGTCCGAGCAGCAGCGTCTGGCAGCTCCTGGCACTGGCTGCATGATGGTGCCGGGCAATGCTGAGTCCAGCCCTGCGGGCCCCGCAGGGGCATGTCTGCCCCAGGGTCTCTGACCAGCTGGATCCAAACACCCCTGAATTTGGGGGGATTTGAATCTGGATCCAAATGTCCCTCCCCAACCCTCCGCACACTCCCACTACCTGCTGCAGGTCCCTAAAATGGGAGGGGTGGGGGGAGGATGTCCTGCCAACAGGGAGGGGCTCAGGAAGGGCAAAAGCCTCAAAAAGCCCTTCCCCCACTGCTCAACCCCCTACCTGCCTGTTTCTGGAAAACTTTGGGCAGCCACAGCTGCCTTGCAGGGGTCACCTGCACAGAGAGCTGCCTGGTTTTCGAAGGGTTAATCCCCAGCAGCCTGGACTGCAGACCCCGCCTGGGTGCTCTGGAGCCAGGCTGGGGGAGGAAGGTGCGACCCAGCTTCAGTGACCCCTGCGGGGCTTTGCAGGGACACAGAACCGTCTGGATCTGCCCTGCCCAGGCCCCCTCCCCATCCAGGGCCCCTGGCAGAGCACAGGACACAAGGCCACTCTGAACCAGGGGTGTTCCCGCCCCAGAGCCCCTTTGCCACAGCTCCAGCGTGAGCTGTATTATAACAGCACCTAGGGCCAGATCCGGGCCCCATTGTTCCGGGCGCTGCAGACAGGGAGAAACAGTCCTTGCCCCAAAGAGCTCGCAGTCTGAATAAACAAGGGTAGGAGGGGAAACTGAGGCATACACCAGTGGCGTGACTTGCCCAAGGTCACCTGGCAGGGCAGTGGCAGAGCCCAGGAAGAATCCAGGTGTCCTGACTCCCAGCCCAGTGCCCAGTGTGTGCTCAGCCCCCCACCCCCAGCACGCACACAGAAGGCCCAGCTATTGAGGTCTCGTTTTCAAGGAGGTAGCGGGGCCTAGGGGCTTGGGCACTGCGTGTGGGGACTCAGGACTCCTGGGTTCCATCTCCAGCGCTGCCAGTCAGCTTGGGCTCCGTGACGTGGGGGCTGCCTTGGGATGCGCGGTGGGGGGCAGCTGGCTGGTGTCGGCTTTGGTCCAGTCTCACTTTGCTCCCTGTCTCTGTTCCTGTCCCCAGAGTTCAGCTCGCTCCCCTCTCCCTGCCTGTTCGGCTCCTGCTGCTGTGGGGGAGTGCAAGACAAGTTCCCCTGCCTGGGCGCCTTCCTGCCAACGATCCCGCACTCCGGCCTCGGCCCCCACTCCAGCCGTCAGCTCTGCCCCCCTCCCCAGTACCCCCAGCCCAGCTCCCCCGACTGGTCGTGCTTCCCCAGCCACGTCTTCCAGCACGGCTGGTCGGTGCTGCCCCTGGAGGAGAGGGCCCACCCACACAGCCCATTGGGACCCCCCAGATCAGAAGCCCTCCGGAAGGGTGTCAGCTTCCCAGCCATTAGGCTGCAGGGGAGAGCGTTCCCCGGGCTCCCATTGGGTGCCACGCGGGGCCATGGGAGCGCGATGGCCGGAAGGAGGCTGGGGTTCCCGCCGGACCTCTCCCAGCCTAGGGAGGAAGCGGAGGCCTCCTCTGCAGAGAGCTGCCTGGGTGTGAAACCGGAGCTGGAGCTCGAGGGCCGGCCTCAGGCCAAGGGCGCCGGCAGTCTGGAGCCCAGTGGGGGAGGTGAAGGTCTGCCTTACCCCCCCGAGTTACAAGGCCTCCACCCACCCAGCATCCCCTGCTTGCCTGGCTTTAAAGCTGGCTGCTCCCTGGATCCTACCTAAGGCAGGTGGGCAAGAGTTGAGGGGATGTCAGCTCTTCTCCTCCAGCCCTGATTCCACTGTCCCAGGGGACCCTGGCATTCCAGCTAGCAGACCAGAAGCTCCCTCGACCAGCCGGCTCTCCGCAACCCGCCACTCGCCCTGTCTCAGGGCTGAGGAGGTTGATTTCCAGTGGGGTGCTGGCTGGGACCCCAGAAAACCAGCCACCAGGGTCTGCCAGTGACTCATCCTCATTCACCCACCAATAACCCCTCCATCCACAACTCCCTGAGGCAGAGCCAGGGAGGTAGGTGCCCCGAGTGTGCAGAGCCCTCTGTCTTCCTCGCCTGGTCTCAGTGCCCCACCCCGGGTAGCCTGAGACATGCTTCATTCATACCTCAAACTTCCCCAGCCTCTGCTCTGCTTCACAACTAAACCTGGGTCCAGCCCAGCCCGGCCACTCTTTGTGATCAGACACCCTCTCTCCGGGACGGCCCATCCGGTGCCAGACCCCAGCTCTTCATTCGCTTTGAAGCTCTCGGCGTGTGTCGGGATGGCGACCGGAGCTGATGTGCAAACAGGTTTGGAATCCCGGGGGAACCCCTGAGGAACACGACAAAGATCTCATTTTCCTTGCCATTTTTTTCTTCCAAAGGTTTAGGTGGGGAAAAAAAGAACAAACAGATTGTTCAGTGTTTGGCAACAGGAAAATTTCAGCCAAAAAATTTCAAATTTTCAACAACCCCCGCACTCAGTTTAGCCCAAGACGTCACCCGCAGAAATCTCTGCTTTGACTAAAAACTTGGTTTCTGTCGGAAAAAACCTTGAGAAGGGAATATGTTGACTGGCTCCAGTACCGCTGCTGCTGGCTCATCCCCAGGGATCCCACGTGGGACGTCTGGATCAAAAACACAAGCCACCCGTGTCAGCAAAAGAATAAGGCCTGTGAGCTTGGGCTGTATCTGTCTCATCAACTTCATGCATCATCCAGCTCCTGGAGGGGGGAAAGCCCTGCATTGGGTCCGCATGGGGAGGTTGAAAGTGACCCAGTATTTCCCATTAAACACTCAGTTGCCCCCACAGGGTTATTCTACCCCTTTTTTCTTCTGGTACTCCCCAGCCACCGCCCCACCCATGCTGGGGACACGTTCTGAATTGCTCAGGCCCCAGTTCCCTTTGCCTGGCGACACTCTGGAAACCAGAGGGGAGGGGGTGTCTTTCCTCTCGACTTTCCTCCCTCTTGTTCAAACATTTGTGTGGAGTGTTTGCTAAGTGCCTAGTTGTTGGTCCCCTTTGCCCTGCTGTTGGGTTCCCTCTTAACTCCTCGTCTGCCAGATCTCAAGTCTGGTCTTGGGCTGCGCTGAAATCAGGGGAAGGTCAGGGGCGGTCCAGCGCTGAGGCAGGGGTGTTCTGCCTGGGGGGTCCCAGACCATTCAGCACAACAGGTGTACTCTGGAGGCACCGAGCATGCAGCAGCTCGGCAGGGATCTTCTGCCTGGATAGGCTGCTCCTTCCAGCATCAGAACAGGTGCATTCTCTTCGGCTGGAGCCTGGAGGTACACCACCAGCCCAGCCCGATTTGTCTGTATATACAAGTCCCTGTGCCACATCGCCCTGACGTCTTCCCCGCTCCCCCTGTCCGGCAATACCCTCGCGCCCCACGGCACAGTTTGTCAGTGAAATAAACGTGCACGGCCTGTCTAGTCTCACCCCGTCTGTATAAAAGATGAAACCAAACCCGGTGAATAAAGATTGTTTGTAGACCAGAATCTCTCGGTTGTTTCCCCAAATCCCCATCTGAAGGGGGCTAAGTTAGAACCAAATCCACCTTGTCATCTGGGGGGTTGGAAAGGGTGCTGCTTGTCCAAATTCTTGACAGAAAATGCTCACCCCATGTTCCTGGTGGCCAGAGCCACTTATTCCTATGTGCCAGTAGGTGGCATGTTTTATATCACATAGGTCCTAGCTAGACATCAACCTAAGCCACAGTCATCCAAAACGGGATGTTCTTTGAAAAGACCGACACTAGTTCACCACAGCAATTGGACATGGCGCAGGAATTAATTCAAGGAAGCCCTATGGCCTGTGTTATGCAGGAGGTGCGATCAGATGATCACAATGATGGTTATATTTGTAAAAAGAACAGCAGTCCTTATGGCACCTTAGAGACTAACCAGTTTATTTGAGCATAAGCTTTCGTGAGCTACAGCTCACTTCATCGGATGCATACATCCGATGGAACCTGGTAACACCTGGTCACACCCATTGTTTCATGTTCTCTGTGTTTATAAATCTCCCCACTGTATTTTCCACTGAATGCATCCAATGAAGTGGGCTGTAGCTCACGAAAGCTTATGCTCAAATAAATTGGTTAGTCTCTAAGGTGTCACAAGTCCTCCTGTTCTTTTTGCGGATACAGACTAACACGGCTGCTACTCTGAAACCGGTTATATTTGTGTGGACAGGCGATGGCCGTGCCTGGAAAGCCAGGTGCAGGGGGAAAGAAGACATAGCAGTGCGAAGGCTTTGCCGCGCTTGACATCTGAGCGGTGAAAAATTGCACATCGAGAAATTGACATGTGGAAAAGCACAGGCCTGGTCTAGCGGCCACATCTAAAAAAGTTGACCCCTGGTTCTTATTATTCTTTGTCATGTGGTAGCAGCTAGACCAAACTTTTGTGTGAGTGGCCCCTTTCACAGAGCAAGCTTCTGAGTGCGACGCCCCTTATAAATTAAAAGCATGTTTTTTATATTCAACACTATTATAAATGCTGGAGGCAAAGCAGGATTTGGGGTGGAGGCTGACAGCTCGCCACCCCCGCCCCCACATAATAACCTTGTGACCCCCCCTGAGGGGGCACAACCCCCAGTTTGAGACCCCCTGAGCTAGACCATCCCGAACCAAGGTGATCAGGGTCCCTTCATGCTAGGTGCGGTACATAGACCTAGGAGAACCGGTCCCTGCTCCCAAAAGGTCATAATCTAATAGAGAAGGCAGGCCTAGAGAGAATTGCCCAGCTGGGCAAAGATGAAGAGACTTGCTCTAGGTCACGTAGGCCGTGTGCAGGGCCAAGAACTGAATGCAGCTCTCCAGCGCCCGACACCAGTTCCCGACCCACAACACCAGCCTTCCCCGGGCCCCGGCGTGCTAAACAGCTGGTGGGAGCGAGCATATGAGACGAGCAAGCGCAGCTGGCGTGGATCTCGGGGCTAGGCTATTTCCCATCATCTCCATTGCTTCGTCTCTGATTGGCATTCTTTGCCATGCGGGAGGGGAGCCCCCCCCAGGTGTGCTAGACGGTGGTGAACGGTGCAATCTCAGGGAGACCTGGCTTGCAGGGGCCCCGCCAAAGGTATTTCTGTTACACTGTGGCCTCTCAAAGCCGCCTGCTAATGATTGACTCAACGGTCTGTGTGGCACTAGTGACCCCTAGTGACCAGCCTGGGTCATCGCCGATTCACCTCCTGCTCACCTGGCATTATTACAGTGGGGTTAATAGACAAAGCCTCCCCTCCCCTCAACTAAAGCTTTGGAGACACCAGGCAGAACACTTGGGGCCTCGGTGACATAGCTTTCCCACATGGAAAATGTAGGGTCTAGACCCAGATCTGCCATGCAGCCTTGGGTACGTCACTGCCTTTCTCTGGGCCTCAGTTTCCCCTTCCACCCTTTGTTTAATAATCTCTTGCGCTTATCTAGCACTTTTCATCAGTAGATCGCAAAGCACTTTACAAAGGAGGGGGCAGCCCCATTAGCCCCATTGTACAGATGGGGAAACTGGGGCACGGGGAGGGGCAGTGACTTGCTCTAAGTCACCCAGCAGGCCAGTGGCTGAGCCAGGAATAGAATCCAGGTCTCTTGAGTTATTTCCAGCCCAGTGCTCTGTCCCCTGGGCAACACTGTCCCAGTTGGTTTCTTTAGCCTCTTTGGGGCAGGGAATGTCTTTTGCCATGTGCACATGCAGCACCCTGCACAACGAGGCCCAAATCTAAGTGAGGGCGGGGCCAGGAATAGAACCCGGGGCCAGTGCTCTAACCACTGGACCCTGCTGCATCTCCCTTGGGGGGGAAAAAAAGACTTATTTTCCTTTCACTTTCAGAACGTAAGAGCTCATGAACAGTGACCTTGGACAGATGGACAGCCAAGCGCCCGTCACTTACAGGAAAATAGTGACCGTATTCCAGAGTAAAGGCCCATCCGCCATGTACCTGTGCCCGGGGCAGCCTCCAACGCCATAGAGCCCCATTCTGGCTGGGAACCTGCCATAACGCCCATCACAGGAGGGCAGGTCAGTTCACAGCTGGGTTGGCACTTACTGAACACCAGAGTCGGTTTGAGAAGGAGTGATGGGGTGCACTGGTCTTTGGGGGCCCCCCGCTGGCAGCTGCAGCATCCTGACACAGCCGAGCCCGGGTTTATTGGAAGCCTCTTGACTCTGCTAAAGACAGAAGGGATAACGACATGCCCTGTTGCCTCCTGTGTGTGTGCAGTGCCCCGCCCCATGGGCTGATTGCGGTCTGTGAGCGTTACTATATTCGCAGTTTTCAGAGTAACAACCGTGTTAGTCTGTATTCGCAAAAAGAAAAGGAGGACTTGTGGCACCTTAGAGACGAACCAATTTATTTGAGCATGAGCTTTCGTGAGCTACAGCTCACTTCATCGGATGCATACCGTGGAAACTGCAGCAGACTTTATATACACACAGAGAATATGAAACAATACCTCCTCCCACCCCACTGTCCTGCTGGTAATAGCTTATCTAAAATGATCAACAGGTGGGCCATTTCCAGCACAAATCCAGGTTTTCTCACCCTCCACCCCCCCACACAAATTCACTCTCCTGCTGGTGATAGCCCATCCAAAGTGACAACTCTTTACACAATGTGCATGATAATCAAGTTGGGCCATTTCCTGCACAAATCCAGGTTCTCTCACCCCCCTCCCAAAAACCACACACACAAACTCACTATCCTGCTGGTAATAGCTCATCCAAAGTGACCACTCTCCCTACAATGTGCATGATAATCAAGGTGGGCCATTTCCAGCACAAATCCAGGTTTTCTCACACACCCCTCACCCCCATACACACACAAACTCACTCTCCTGCTGGTAATAGCTCATCCAAACTGACCACTCTCCAAGTTTAAATCCAAGTTAAACCAGAACATCTGGGGGGGGGGGTAGGAAAAAACAAGGGGAAATAGGCTACCTTGCATAATGACTTAGCCACTCCCAGTCTCTATTTAAGCCTAAATTAATAGTATCCAATTTGCAAATGAATTCCAATTCAGCAGTTTCTCGCTGGAGTCTGGATTTGAAGTTTTTTTGTTGTAAGATAGCGACCTTCATGTCTGTGATTGCGTGACCAGAGAGATTGAAGTGTTCTCCGACTGGTTTATGAATGTTATAATTCTTGACATCTTTTGATTTGTGTCCATTTATTCTTTTACGTAGAGACTGTCAAGAGGCCGGACAGGATCCCTGGGAAGCTCTGTGGAGTGGGGACCACCTTTGATCGATGTTTGTGCTGCGCCTAGGGCCCTGAGGCTCTGGGCCAGGACCGGGGCGCCCTGTACCACAATACAAATAATAACGTTCACAGAGTTGTAGATTTCAAGCCAGGAGGGAACCGTTCTGCTCAGCTAGCTGAGCTCCCGCAGAGCACAGGCCGGAGGATTTCACCCAGTGATCCCTGCATCCAGCCCAGAGCTCCAGCCTGAGAGAGAGCGTGTCTCAACAGCAGAGGCTGCGAGAGACGTACATATCTGATTAGACCAAACTGCACCCGTTCACGTTCCAGAAGGACACAGGAATCCTCGAACCGATCAGACCCAGGTCAACATCATCCTCTCTCCGGCAGGGGCCAGCTTCAGAGGAAGGTGCAAGGACACTAATGGTACACCCTGACCATAGGGCTTTGTGGCTGACTTGCCCTGCCGCTGCTTATTTCCTTGGGGCCGCAGCCCTTCGTTGCTGGGCATGCTGGCCCTTTAAGGGGAAGGTGGGCTCAACCTCACCTATCCCCAGTTAGGGCTGTGGTTGGATCAGGTGACATGCTTCCTATAAGAGGCAGCCTGCTTGCTCAGCTAGAGGAGTTGAGGCTGCTGTAGCAGGGGATACAGAAACCAAGAGCTGGGAACAGGTGCTCCTTGCTCGCCTGAGAGAAGGGTCCGGCTGGAGCTATGTGCAGTGAGGGGCAGCAGAAAAACCCTCTTCCAGTGTGGGAGGGTATTTCTAGAAGGAAGCAGCCTGGCTAGGACAGTGCAGGCAATGGGGCGTGTGACGAGGAACTAGCACTGACTCGAGGCTCTCGACTGGGCCTTTTAGGGAGGACAGGAGGCAGCTTCCCCACCTGCAGCTTCTTTTGCCCTGTGGTGAAAAGGTCAACAGGCTGCTGAACTCAGGGGGAGGCGGAGAGAGAGGAGCTGAGGCCTGGTGTACGTGAGACCTCCCTGAGGGCACCCCTGACTGAGGTGCCTCTGTTGGCACATGACTCCAGGAGCTGGGGCTTTAAGAAAAGCACCAAAAGGTCACCAGCCTTGCAAGGATCCCCAAATCTCTGACCAAAGAGTGTACACAAAGGGTGGTCGGGTGCATAAGGAGCTGGCCTGCAAATCAGGAGATCTAGATTCAATTCGTGACTCACTTAATCCCTCTGCACCCCAGCCCCTCCTCTAACACAACCTTCCTTTATCTCCACTCTTTGGACTGCCGGCTCTTGGGGCAGGGATTGTCTTGCTCTGGGTATGTACAGCCCCGAGCACCATG